TATAGCATCCTCATCCTAACATTCACGTCATCATGGTCATCTCTACTTTGAGGAGGCAGCTCTTCCCCAGTCACCTTTTGAGTGCCTTCCAACTTGAGGGGCTCATTTTCCGGCACTATATCTGGCAGTGTTTCTCTGCTATTCATAAAGTTTTCAGTGACTAAATATTTGGAAATAGTTCGTCACTCCTTCTTCCTTGTCTGGAAGTTTATCTGAAACTTATCCACCATGGGTAACCCTGCTGGTATTTAAAATACCTGTGGCATAGCTTCCAGAAGCACAGCAACTCATAAGCCACCACAGTACGAAAAACTGACAAGCAGTGGACATATTGTCAGGAGGGTCCAGTCGCTGGAGAAGGCTATCATTTTTGGTAAGATGGAGAGTCAGAGAAAAAGAGGAGGATCCCCAGCAAGATGAATTGGCAAAGTGACAGCATCAGTGGGCTCAAGCGTGGCAACAATTGTGAGGTTTGCCCAGGACCAGGCAGTGTTTTGTTCTGTTGTACACAGAATTGCTATGAGTCAATACCGACTTGATGACACCTAACAAAAACAACATCCTAACATTGAAGACAAATTATGTGACTGCCTTCCTCATAAATGCCTGTGGATCACTTGATAAAACTCAGACTTCTTAGTTTGGCATTTAAGGCCCTGCATAATTTGATTTCAGTGTAGTCTTTCTGCATTGTTTTATTGAACCAAGATGGTTCTGAGTGTTATCTGTGCTCTCATGTCATCTGCTAGTGATGTTTTCTCACTCTGCAATGCCTTTCACTCTCTGCTTACCTAGAATTTCACTGCATCTTTCAAAACTCAGTTTACATGCTGCCTATTTGTGGTGTTTTTCCTCATCCCACAGTTTTCTCTTCTACCTTCCCACCCCCACAATAGAGGTGTTGTTTTGGTTTTATGTGTGTGTGTCTGCCATAGTAGTAGTTGATTCTTTTGTCTTTGAATTGGCTATATACATATTGACCTCCTTTTTTTTTTTTTTAAGTTCCCCAAGAGTAAAAATCTAGTCTGTATCCTTGACAGAACTGTGCAGTATATGCTCAATAAAAGAGCCATTCAGTCAGCCAATCAAGCTCATTATCTTTCTTTCTGTCCTTTTTTTTTTTATCCTTTTATTGTTGCTGTTGTTGTATGATATACCACACTACAAAAGAGTATATAATGTGTATATGTTGTTGTTGTTCAGTGCCATTGAGTTGATTCCGACTCACAGTGACCCTGTATAGGGTTTCCAGCTGGTGAGCCTGAACCACCAACCTTGCAGTTCAAACGACTTTGCAGTCTGATGTATTAGCCCACAATGTGTATGTTGTTGTTGTTGTTAAGTGCCATCGAGTTGGTTCCGACCCATAGCAACCCTGAACAGGGTTTCTGAGGCTGTAAATCTTTACGAGAACAGAAGGCCTCTTCTTTTTCCTGCGGAACAGCTGGTAGTTTCCAACTGCTGACCCGGAGGTTAGCAGCCCGGTATGTAGAGTGCTTAAAATCCAACATTAGAAAAATGTACCCATCACCTTGTTTAAGAAATAGAACATTACCAATATCTTTGACGTGCCCTTTGTGTGTGCCAATTTAATCACATGGCCTTCTTCCCTATCCCACCCTAACCTTCCCGCTCCCCGCACCCCGGAGTACCACTATATCAAACTTTGTATTAATGGTTGTCTTTATTGCTTCATTACATAATTTGTATCTCTGGATATTGATGTTTAGTTGTCTGTTTTATAATTTTAAGTGGAATCATATTGTGTGTATTCTTCTGACTTGTTTTCCTTCAACATTATGTTTTGGAAATCAACCTATATATTATTATGCAAAGCTACAGTTCATTGCTTTTCAATGCTGTATAGGATTATATTGCATAAGTAAGCAGTATTTTATTTATCCATGTTACTGGTATGGCACTGCAGGATAAGCACAAGACTGGCAACCACAGGTTGGCAGTTCAAACCCACTAGCCACTCTTGGAAGTCCTATACAGGATCGCTATGAGTCAGAAAGTCGAAGGCACTCAACAACAATAACAACTGTTGATGGGCATTTGGGTTGCTTACAGCTGTGGCCTATGGCAAACAGCACTGCCGTGTACATTCTTGCAAGTGTCCTCTGAAGCACAGAAGCAAACATTCCTCTAGGGTACCTAACTAGAAGTAGAATTGCTGGGGTGGAGTGTGTGCTGGTTCTGATGTGTAATGCCAACTGTCCTCTAGAGTGGTACCAGGGAAACAGTGGGCAGGCTAGAAGAGTTTCCTCTTCAGTCTTCTTCAGTGCTTACTGTTATTTGAAACCTTAATTTCTACAACACTCATGGGTATGACATGACATCTCCTGGTTTTAATTTTATTTTCCCTTATTACTAAATGTGGTTGCTCATCTTTTCCTGTTTATGGGCCATCTGTGTTTCCTCTTCTTGTAAAATGCCTGATTTTGCCTTTAACCCAGTTGTCTCCACACCATCTAATTAATGGCTATTTGATTCTTCACTTAATTGCAATGCCAGCTTTGTCATAAATCATATTTCTTATCATGTGCCAAAAATAAATGGTTCTCCAACTATCCCTTATCCATCCTGGAGGCAATTCCATGCCATCTCTATGTCATGATATCTATAGGTCTGTCTTTCCCTCTCCTTAAACCTGCAATGGGTAGAGTCCTGGTATGGTGCTGTGGGGTAATGTACTGGACCTAAAGGTCAGTTTGAACTGCAAGATCAGTGGTTCAAATTCACCAGCCGCTCCTCAGAAACCCTATACAGGGTCACTCACTGTGTGTCGGAACTGACTCGACGGCACTTAACAGCAACAATAACAACAAACTTGGGACTGGAGTTCTGGTGTGGTGCCATAAGATAAGCAGTCAACTTCAAGATCAGTTTGAACTACAAGGTTGACAGTTCAAACTCACCAGCCACTCCTAGGAAACCCTATACTGGGTCGCTATGAATAGAAACCGACTTGACGGCACTTAACAATAACAGCAAAACCTGGGACTAAACAACCCTGGTCGTGCTTTGAATTAAGCACTGGGCCACAAACCAAAAGGTCAGTGATTTGAACCCACCAATCACCCCACACGAGAAAGATGAAACTGTCTGCTTCTATAAAGATTTACAGACCACTATAAGACAGTTCTGCTGTGTCCTGTAGGGTCACTATGAGTTGGAATCCCATTTGGTGGCAGTAAGTTAGTTATGTTAGGTTCAGTTCGGTTAGGTTAGGGTAGGCTAGGTTAAGCCTGGGAATATCAGTGACACTCAGTGGTGCCATTTTATTCTTTTTTAAGGGAAAAAAAAGCTTACTGGAAAGGTGGTTCAATAACTAGGCCAGCTCTTTTTGCTTTTTTTAATTAGTAAAATTTTAAGTTTAGCCAGTTAAGCATTTACCTACCACCCCTTTCTTTGATAGAACCAAATTTTCTTCTTTGACGTTTACAGTATTTTTAGCTTTTGGATATAGCCTATTCTGGTGTGGTGATGTAGGATCAGCACTGGATTGTGCTGATGTTGGCAGTTCAAACCCACCAGCTGCTCCTCAGAAACCCTATCTATATATAGGGTTGCTATGAGTCAAAACCAACTCAGCAGCTCTTAACAACAATAACATAAATTTATCAACATTCTAAAATATAGATCAAATTAAAACAGATATCTAGACACTATTTTGTGTTGTTTCCCTTTATCTTTTAAGAATAGAATCAAAAGGATATAACCATGGAGAGTTGAGAGTGAAGTGTCCAGCTGATATGAAGTGAGGGGAGATGCACAGGAACACCCAAACTTGTAGATAGTACCCATTCGACTTAGCTTCAATGGCTTGATCAGAACTCGACTAGAGGAAGATTTAAAAATAAAAAGAATTTTTTTGTGTGTGCTTTGTTTTGAATAAAGGAAACAAGTATAAGTTGCAACAGTTTGATGAATTTGACCTATAATATGGATGTACTAGCTCAGAATACCAACAGAGAGGGAAGGAGTCTTCACATCAAGGATCAATCCTGTCACCTCTATACACAGGCCTGATAGGGATGAGCAAGTTAGACAATGGCTACCTAAAATGGGTGAGGGGGGGCTATAAAGGCACAAAGTGACTGGCTTACAAGTTTTCAAGATGAAATTTAGTTTCAGAGGGTGCAGGGGAAGGTAGAATCCCCACTGAATAGTATTCATATTGTCTAGATGGGTTTGGTGAAAAGAGGTTGGGATAAGATTCTTATAATTCAATAGTGAATAATTGTTATCATGACTAATTGCAACTGTCACAACTGTAAAGGTAGACGTTCTGTAACAAAAATGCAGGAGTAGTTCATCTTACAGTCCAGAAACAGAGGACCCTAGGGTGAAAAGCATGAGCAGAATATGGGATCCTATCCAGAGAAACAGTGAAACCAGAGATGGAGACAGAGTTAAGGACATGGAGAGAGAGAACAGCTGAGGACTGTAGAGTCATGGAAAGATAAAGGCTGTGTGCTGGTGGCCAGAAGGCAGGCTTGCAGAATATGCCCTTTGGTTGGTTGTTTAAATGATTATATATTCCTGAGTGGTTTTGTGTCCATCCTCACAGCCCCCCCACCCCAAAAAAAAAAAAACAGGGAATGGAAACAAATACTGTTGAATGGTGATGTACAGAGGAGATTGTAATCATTGCAATGAAATGATGAGTGTAAAACCAATGTCCTCCCATGTAAACTATCACTATCACTCAATTCACAATATAAACGTAAAAAAAAAAGGATAGAATCAAAAAGCCTCACAAGTTTTTGTTTCCTAGGCAACCAGAAATGTACATGGGATCTTCCTTGTATTGCAACCCCCCTGCAATGAATGACACCATTCTCGTTCGTGGCTGGGTCATCCCTCAGCCACTGTACTGTTTCCCATTACTCAGGATCCCTGATTGTGATGCACTTAACTCTCTTGCTGAAGTACAGTAATTTCTCTGGGTCTCACAGTAAACTTGTTTTCATATTTTTCAATTTCCCTTTTAGCCTCTGCCTGTGAGTTTTTAGACATCGTGGAGCTGCTGCTGCAGTCTGGCGCTGACCCCACACTCCGTGACCAGGACGGTTGCCTGCCGGAAGAGGTGACGGACTGTAAGGCGGTGTCTTTGGTGCTGCAGCAGCACACAGCCAGCAAGGCCACAGTGTACTCAGCATAGGGCGCCCATGACAAGAGAAAACAGCAAAAATAATACTCCTTTTGATATGCACTGGCTAATAAAATCAGGATATTCTGAGGAACCTGGAATTTTGTAGCCTCAGCAATTCATTGTACTTGTATACATTCCAGGGAATGGACTTCTGGAGATGAACATGTGTAACTGCATAACACAATCCAATTCTGCTGAGCATGCTCTGAAATTTATCACTGCTCTGGAGGGGAGGGGAGAGGAGGAGACAGATCCTAGTTCACAATATTAAACATGGCTGCTCTTTTCAAAAACACAGAAGCAAATGGTGACCAACAGTACTACCTTGGCAATTAGGAGAAGTTTCATGAAATCCCAGGCTGGCAGAGACCACATGTTCTTAGGGCATCTTGTACAGCTGGTCTGTATAGGTCGTTAAAATGCCTATTCTTTTGGCAGACAGAATTGGAAAGATAGGACACAAAAGAGAAAGCATTTGTCACAGAAGGGAATATAGACGTGTGAAGAACAATCAGGTTTCCTAAAAATCTCAAAACCTTGAGCATTTTAGAGTAACATTTAGCATCTCACTTTAGGGTTAAAACATGGATTCTGGAGAATTCACTGCTTAAATCAGGATTCTTTAGATTCACCTTCACTAAACAGGAAAGAGATTTCCCAGGACCCTTTTTAGTTGACTGTAAGGAATGATGGTGACACTGTGGGTTAAGCATTGGATTGCTAGCTGCAAGGTTGGTAGTTCAAACCCATTAGCAGCTCTGTGAGAGAAAGATGAGGCCAGACTGTCGGCTGCTTTAAAGGTTTACAGTCTCAGAAATAGGGCCACTAGGAGTTGGAATCCACTCAATGGCAGTGGGTTTGGTTTTGGAATGTCCTTATCATGTAATGTAAATGATATCAAGCCTGAACTGTTAGCCCTGTTGGGGTCTATACTAAGGAGCACTGCACTCAGTGATGCATCATACACTCAGCTGCTAAGCTGAAGGTCAGTGGTTGGAACCTACCAGCAGCTCCACGGGAGAAGGATGAGGCGGTCAGCTTCCAAAAGGAGTTTTAATCTTGGAAACTCTGTGGAGCAGCTCTCGTCTGTCCTGTTTGTCCTGTAGGGTTGCTGTGAGTCAAAATGGACGCAGTAGAAACAGGTTTTTAAGTGTCACTAGGGGAGCTCTGGTAGCGTAGTGGTTACGAATCGGGCTGTGAGCCTCAAGGTCAGCAGTTTGAAACTACCAGCTGCTCCGCTGGAGAAAGATGAGGCTTTCCCATAAAGATTTACAGCCTCGGAAACCCTGTACAGGGTTGCTATGGGTCGGAACCGACTCCATAGCACATAACAACAATAATAGGTTCTGGTGTGGTACTGTAGGATCAGCACTGAACTGCGAACCACAAGGTCAGTGGTTTAAACTCACCAGTCACTCCTCGGAAACCTTATACAGGGTCGTTATGAGTCAGAATTGACTCGAGAGCACTTAATAACAATAACATTAACATAACAAATAACAAACTTTCCCTCACCAGATCATCACAGCTGGACACGGCCTGTCCTGCTGGAACAAGGCTCTCTAGAGCCTTGTTGGGGTTTTTTGTTTTGTTTTGTTTTGTTTTTTAAAGGAAAAGCCACTCTCCTTTTGTTTAGTATTTCCCACTAATGGTTTTAAAGACCCCAAGTCGCCAGAATAAATGGAGCAAATGAGCATTGGGGCCCAGCACACATCCCCATAGCTTCCTTTCCCCTACTCCTAGCTTCATTCACCCGAGCAACTGAGCAGCCTTTCCTTTCTGCCTTCATCTCTTTTCCACCAGCTGCACCAACAGGGCAGCCGCAGCAGACAGGGCCATCACTGCCAGCCTTGCTCCTGGCACCCACACATCCAATCCCATGACCATCTCTCCCTGCCCTCATGCACTTCACCCTGCACCTGGATGTTCACAAAGTCCCAATCCAGCTACTGGCCTGGTCCCTGCCTAGCCCAGGCTGGCCTCCTATATCCAGTGGCTGCAGTTCTCTGGCATTGTCCACCAGCCTCTCATAAAGTTGTGTGATAATAGGCTTCATGGGGATTTCACTGTAGGTTGTGTGGGGACTGCCAGTATATAATATGGTGTTTGCATAACGTCCTATTTCACAGAACGTATTGGGGATGTTAAGCAACACATTTGTCTTTTTATGTTTTGGTTTGTTTTTTTAAGTGTCTATGGAACTGATAAGCATGTTTGTTGTTGTTGCTGTTTGTTAAGTGCCGTCGAGTCAGTTCTGACCCATAGCGACCCTGTACAGGGTTTTCGAGGGTGTAAATCTTTACAGGAGCAGAAAGCCTCATCTTTCTCCTATGGAGCGGCTAAAATGGTACTATAATTCTACTGTATGTAGCTTTCTTTTTGTTGTGTGCTCTTTCACCACAATTTCAATTACATTGCAACCTATTGCTGACTCTCTCATGTTCCACATTCATTCAGTGTGTTTAAGAAACATGACAGGCTCATCACAGTACAAGTGACCAAAATGTTGCATACATTTTTTTATCGAAATTACTCTGTGCATTTTTAGAACATTAGCAAATTTAAAGTGGCTATTCTTTTCATATTTACAGGGTAGTTCTCTGAGCAAGAAGCTATGAGAGAACTCGAGAACTCTTTTATAATTTGACCATGATATTTCTTAGACGAGATTTTAATTCCCTGCTTTACCATATCTAAACAATATAGATAAGCAAAGAATAGCTTTTTAAAATTAATTTTATTTGTAAGGTTTTGAATTTACATGATCATTAAAAGCAATCATCACCTTAATTAACATTTTCAAGTACATTCTAAAATCAGTTTCCAGGATTTCTGTTCTCTTGACATCAATACCTGAATGCTTAAAAACCCAAATAAAAAGGAAAAAGAGGAAGATTTGATCCATAATGTCAGAGAAAACTAGATCTTGGTTTGCTTTCATTCCCCTTAAATTATTGAACATAATAGCTAGTACATCATGCTCATCCCAGTCCTGAGTTCCATTGCCAAGAGCTGCAGTTGTTGTTGTTAAGTGCTGTGGCATCAATTCCGACCCATCACGACCCTGTATAGGGTTTCTGAGGAGTGGCTGATGAGCTTGAACTACTGACCTTGCTGTTCAAACCGACCTTGTAGTCCAGCACATTAACCCACAGCACCACACCAGGACTCCATTAGATACGACCACACCGAGAACACAGATGTGTTCAAGCAGAAAGCCAGCCACCTTCCCCAGGTACACAGTGAATCCTATTTTCATATAACTCAGCAGGATAAAACCAGTCCATACTTGAACCTTTTAGTGTACACATGATTATGCTGTACATAACTTTTCTTTTTCTTTTTTTTTCTAAAAAAAGACCAGTAGTGTTCTAGTGAATTCGTATTAGAAAATATCACAAAAAAGCCTTTTTCTCAGGGTTGATTTCTGGCCCTACTTAAACCAAAATTTCAAAATACAAGGGGATTTCAAAAAATTCATGGAATAATTCCATTATCTTTTCATTCAATTTTTCCATGAACTTTTCAAAATCTCCTGGTACTTACCCACCTTTTTTTAAAGTGTTTGCTGGGATTTGGATTCAGTGTACCCTGCCTCCAGGTCAGAGTCTCATTTTTGTGAGCATTTGTGAATTGAGTCACTATCATGTTCTTTAAGGGGAAACCAATTGGTTAGAGGCGTCAAAGTGACTAAGACATTTGTCAGGCTTGTGTTTTTTACTACTTTACTATTTGCATTTTCTAGACTGTTTACATTACACTTCTCCTACTCTTACCTCATTCGTAAGTCCATATTTATCTTATTATCTTGTCCTCTGCTGATGATTACACACATAAAAACATACCTAGCTCTGTCTTCCCATGTCCTTAAAAAAGGGAAGAAATTTGTTGCTTTTTCTTCTTTGCTCTGTTTCTTTCCTGAATATATTGTGATCACACTAGTGATACTGTATTTAATATTTATTCCTAACTGTTAACTTTGCCCTTTACCCACTGATGTAAGAGGCCTTGATTGCCTTCACAGCAGGCCTGATATATACCGTGATGAAAAATAAGGAATGGAAAGGGAATTAATGTAACTAAACATCAAAGCAGAGGCAAGAGAAGTATCTGAGACACTTATCTTCAGAATTCAACTTGAGGCTGTCTTCAAACTCTTGAAGAGTTCCAGATTGCTTTGAAGAATTATGAACCTCTTCCCCCAGGTTCATGGAATTTGAAGAGTTCACAGATCTTCTGAATCTCATCCATAGATTCCACAGAGGTCTGTGGATCCTGTGAAGAACCCCTTTTTCTGGTTCCTTACCCCAATATTTCCAGAATGAGAAACCTTTTGTTGACTGACCCAATTTTTATAGTTTTAAGTGCTTCTTCCAGATGATATATGGGTGTCTCTATTGCATATTCAAAAGAATCGGAGAAGTATTTTTTTAAATAATTGACCAACATTTTAATGATATGCATAGATCACAATTTCAGTCACTATTCACCATATTAGGAAATGACTAAAGAAGCCAAGGAATGAGACCTCTGAATTATTTGACCTCTGATTCTGTTGAAGGGCATAAATTAGCTCACATGTTCGGTTCTGTGTGACTAATGATGCCTTATCATATGTGCTTAGCTTTTTTGACTTTTCAGAGTGCTTTCATAGACATTAATTTATCATCCCTCCACAGTAAGTGCAAATGTTATTAAAGCCACTTAAACGAGGCGTCTGAGACAAACATAAATTGCCCAATATCACAAACAGTTAGTGGCAAACCCACAACTAGAACTAAGTCTACTGAATCCTAGTACTTTATGTTAGACCACAAAACTTCTTGAGTTTTAATGGTCTTCTTCCATTCATTTACCCACAGATAGAAGGGAGGCTTCAAAAAGTTTGTGGAAAAGTCCATTATATTGTAATCCCACTTTTCCATGAACTTTTTGAAACTCCTTTCATATTTCTTGTGAGCCTACTAAATGATAGGCAGTGGCCCAGGCCACTTTTCCTAGTCCCATGG